GGCAGCGACAGTGGGTTCAAATGTAGGAACGATTTTGAGGATGACTCAGGATCGGCCAGTGTTGCCTTCTGTTGTGCATAGGGTCACGGTGGGCCAGAACGGACTATTACCCTAGAACCACAGACTGGCAGAATAAATCTGTGGTGTAAGTACAGCTAGGGTGCGTTGGAAGTAAAGTTTCATATATTCTGGACATTTGTTCTTGGTAAAGCTTGCAGGTTATTGATAAAGCGCCCAAGGAAAGTCGTTCCAACAATGGACTCACACCTAACTACCATGAGCTGGGTGTAGGATTGAGCAATGCTGTGTTTTGTGCACAAGGGTGCTGACTCGAGACAATCTGGACAGCACCTAACGATCACAGAGGCACACTCTGATATGTCCCCAAAGCTCACTTCCCTGATGGGACTGGTAAGGTGTTTTATCAATTGGCTGGGCCAGAATGTTCCGTGGTTTGACAGTTAAGACTCAGTCATCCTCCATGATGAGATCTAACATCACTGCCATAAAGAAACCCACTATAAGCAGCCAATCGATTGAAGTTTCCTTGAGGGCATGGTCTGCTTCCTATAGTATGTACTGGGCGTGTAGCATTGGGACCATGACCCATAATGCCCTTCCTAGCTTGAATGCAAGGAACTCCAAGGGGATGCATCCAAGAACACAGTTCTCCCAACTCCAGGTCAAGAGCTACACTAGGAGGAAAATAACTAGCATTTCACATCTCACCCCCACAGATCTGTATGTATTGACGAGGCTAAAATCCAGCCAAGTCGAGCCCAGAATTTAGAACTCTGATGCAGCTCATTCATTTGGTAGATAGGTATCTGTGGCATGACATGCTGGCAATCCTGGGTCCCAATTGACGTCACCCCAAGTTATTCAGACAAGTTCTCCATCAAGAGATGGAAGCTGAGAAGACCAGATTCTGCCCCGCATCCTCGGCCCAGTGCCATGTTCCTCAGGCAGGCGTGGCAGAGCAGCTTTTCTTTGCACCCGCAGCTCCAGAGTCCGCTCAGGTTTTGTCCACAGTGGGAAGATAAAGGAACTCTAGGGAGAGTGGGCGAGAGTTGCTCTAAATAATGGAGGTTTTCGTGGTAATCAATTAAAGGAACCTGCTGGTACAGTGGGATGTAAATTGAGCTGCTAGTTCAGTCGTTCAAACTGACCAGCCACTCCTTCGTAGAAAGCTTAGGCTTTCTGCTCTTAGGAAGATTCATGGAATCAATGCCCATGGAAGCAGTCAAGAGATCATTGCATCCCCTGCACTGCATTAGATACATTTGTACAAGACCTCTTTAGAGTATTGAAAAGCAAGGAGGTTACTTTGAGGAATAAAGTGCACCTCACTCAAGCCATGGGATTATATACGCATGTGAAAATTGGACACTGAATAAGGAAGAACAAAGAATTGAATTTGAATTGCGGTGCTGGTGAAGAATTTTGAAAGTCACACAGACTGCTAAAAGGACAAACCAATCTGTTTTGGAAGAAGTGATGCCAGAGAGCTCCTTTGAAGGAAGAATTACAAGACTTTATCTTATATAATGTTGGACATATTATCAGGAGAGACCAATGTCTAGAGCAGGACATCATGTTTGGTAAAGTGGAGGGGCAGCAAAAAGGAAGGCCGTATTGACACACTGGCTGCAGCAATGGGCTCAGGCATGGGAACAACTGTGAGGATGGCACAGGCCCATATAATGTTTCATTCTGCTATGAACGGGCTATCTTGTGGGAGCCAGCCCACATCGGATAGGTCCTATGGGACAGTCGTGTGATTGAAGCGACTAATGAAGCAGACATCAGACAAGCCAGGCAAAGGCTCACCTCTTTGATGGCAGCAGGAACCAGACAGGAGGGTGCCTGACAGCAGCACTAGCAACCATCCATAATAGCCACAAGGGGGCAACAAATGTCCATCCACTCATCAGTGGACGCCAAGAAAAAATTGGGTGTGTATTTACAATGGAATAATATTTAGTCATAATGAAGAAATGAAGTTCTACTACATGTTCCAACATGAATTAACTTCAAACACATTGTGATGTGTAAGAAGTCAGGAAAAAACGGTTATTACATAAAACTATATGAAATATCCAGAATAGGTATATAATATGTAAATGATACAAATTAAAAAAACTAAACTTTAACCTCACTGCCAATGGGTCAATTCTGACTCATAGCAACCAATAGGGCAGGGTAGAACTGCTGGTGGGGATTTTCAAGCCTATAAATCTCTTTAAAAAAAAAAAGCCTCATCTTTCTCCTATGGAATGGATGGTGATTTTGAACCGTTGACCTTGTCAGCGACCCAACCAAGAATTAGGAAGGGATTGGGGGATTGTGTAGAATGATAGTTCCATAGGTGGAGGGTTTTCTTCTAGGGTGAGCAAAATGTTTTGAAACTGGATAATGACTGTACACATTGAAAACATATCACTGCATTATACTTTTGGGCAGGTAATTTTAAGTCACGTACATTTTACCTCAGAATGAAATCTATCTTCGTATCTTAGACAGTGTTCTCTCCCTTGTTGCTGTTATATAAAATGCACCATGTAATTTAGTGCTAAGCTTTACCTTGCCGTGCCTTCTCTTGCAAGTTAATCACAGGCTTTTTTTTCTCTCAAATGAAATTTTTTAATATGAGGAATAGCAAAGAAATCCTAGCTCAAGAAACAGAATTTCTCCAAGGTTTGCTTATTCTCAGCTGTGATGACTGAGTATAAATATTTCAAAGTGTAGCTAGGCAGAAAATGGTGTGATTTGTCTAAGTATGGCGTGTGCATAACGTAACTATTTTTAAGAACAATTCAGTGGCACTGATACATTCATAGTGTTGTGCAACCACCACCATTATGCATTTCTAAATCCCATTCATCACCCCAGAAATTTTATTCTCATTAAGCAACTACATCTCCGGGAACCACTCATTCACTTCTGCCATCTATACATTTATTTATTTAATATATTTCAGGTAAGTGGAGTTACACAATATCTTTTTATGTCTTCCTTTCCTTAGTACAGTGCTCTCAAGACTCGTTCATATATAGCACGTATCAAAGCATCATTCTTTCATATGACGGAATAATAGCCCTCTGTCAAGAGATGCATAGCTTGTGTGTAGATTCTTTAATATCATATATATATGACTTAGGTATAAGGTCATGGCTATAAGGAGCTCAGGTGGTGCAGATGGCAAACACGAGGCGAACTGTAAGGCTTGTGTTTAGAAGCCACCAGCAGCAGAAGACGGTAGTCCCAGGTACAGCGCTCTCTTGGGGAACTTTCCTGGGAGAGAGATGTGGCAGTCTGCTTTCAGAAAGACTCCATGGGGTTGTTGGAATCTGCCTGAGAGGGTCACTATGTATCAGAATCAACTCGAGGCAATGGGTGTGTGTGGGGGTGTCTACCTTTCCCAATTTGTGTCTATCTTAGTTGTATTCTTTGCCTAATGACTCTAGTTAGAACGTCCAGCAAAATGTTGAATAACAACAGGGAAAGCAGGTATGGTATCCTTGTCTAAGGGTCTGGTGGGATTCGTAGTGGAATTTTGTTTTCTGAGACTTTTTGTGGTGAAAGATTGCAAGGCCAACTAGTTTTCCATTCAGCAATTGATACACATTTTGTTTCATGACATCACTGGAAATCCCCAATAATGAGACCGCACTTGTGGAGGGAGGTCAGATCCTTGAGATGCTGCCACACTGCTGTCTCCTCCCACCACAGGGGTGGGCCTGCTACCTGCTGCTGGAGACAATGGGTGAAGCTTAAGCCCATTACCTTGGTTCCTGTAGGCGGAATTTTCACCCTCCTGATAATAGTTCCTATGGAGACCAGAGTCAAGTTAAAGCTGCCACCAGAAATCTAGGATCCGCCCATCTTGCCGCAGGTACACCCCCAATCCCTCCTCTTCCTATTGCGTGGAGACCCCTAGATCACCCCCTCCCATTACTGTAATGCCTATAGCACAACCCTTTCCTGTGACATGTGTCTTCACCTATAATGAGGGGACTTGCATGTCCTCCACGTCCCCAGAGAAAATAAAAGTTTGGGAGCATTAGTCTCTCTCTGCCTCCACGTGGACCAGCAAGCGGGGCTGAGGTGAGCAATGCTACCATGAAATGTGTCTGACTCCATTTATTTCTGTATATCCCTCCTATCTCTCATGCTTTCTATAACCTTACTATAATCTTTACTTATTATCACTATACAATTGTGCCTACCGAACCTGTAGTGATTGTGCTGGGAGCTGACTTCTGGCACACACTCTTATCCTTTCTTTTTGTTCCCCAGAAGCCCACAGGGGTTATACTCTGTTGCAAGGGATCACCCAGAGTTGCATTGAGTCAATGGCAGTGAGTATGGAGTTTTTATTTCGGGGCTAAAAATTAATTCCCCAAAGTGTGTTCAGCTCCAGGTTTGAAGTGTATCCAAGGACTATAGTCTTGGGAGTTCCACTCATCTTGATTAGACTTGTAGGTCTGGTCTTCTTTATGATTTTGAGTTTGATTCCCTATGGTTCTCCCACTTTGTCAGCCGCTTCCATTGTGATCCTGAGCAGCGTGGTTGGTATTGGTAGTCAAGCACCATCTAGTTCTAACGCCAGGGCAGTAGAAGCTGGCGTTCTAGTGGTCCACTTGTCCTTTGGACTAACTGTGCCCTTGCATCTTTGGCTTTCTTCATTTCTCTGTGCTCTGGTGGGGCGAGACCAGTACTTGCATAGTAATAGCCATTCACAAGCTTTAAAGACCCCTGGTTGCGATCCACCGAAGTAGGACGTAGAATATTGTCTCTGAGAATATGGTCCTCAGTCCTCAAGTGACTGGAGCTTTTGGAAACCAACTATTTCATAGGTGCCTCAGAATGGAACAACAGTCTACTTACAACAAATAAAACAAGATAAACTTTAACATTACTCCTTAAAGCGTATGTTTAAAGATATACATCAATTGCAGCCATACAAGTAAACGCTGAATAAGGAGCAAGGCTTTTGTATTAATCTTTGAGTTTTTATTTTTATTTTAACAAGTATTTACAAGAAGTTAGGAGTGGACTACAGGGTCAGCCAAACCCCCTGTTATTGTTGATGGCCACTTGAAGGGCTTCTTCCATTCTTTCCATTGTTGAATATTTAGGGAGGGTGAGGGTACTAAAACATGTCTGCACAGTCATGGGATAATTTTCATCGAAATATTCTGGGCAGCGAATTGTTATTTTCATATTTCTTAAGCTTTGAGTTTGTAGCCTGTCAGTTCCTGTAAGAAACACTAAAAAGAAGAATTACATTATGTGATATATTTCTCAAGAAGAACAAAACTTTTATACAGAAAACATATGTTTATTCAAAACAATTTTTATTTTAAGAATTTTTTTTTAACTTTAGAAATTTGATTTAAAACAAATTACTGGGGACCCATGTGGGGCATCCTATCTTAGAGTGCAAGGGACACCATCTGGCACACAGCCATTGCCCTTAAGCAGCCGATAGTCCTAACTGTTCATAATCCCTGTTGGCGTAATCGGTTTGCAGTGGGCTGCTAACTGCAAGATCTGCAGTTAGAAACTACCAGGGGCCCCTCAGGAGAAAGATGGGGCTTTCCACTCCTGTCCAGGAGCCCTGGTGGTGTATAGTGGTTATGCATTGGGCTATGATCTGAATGACTGGCAATTCGAAACCACCATCAGCTTTCTGCAGGAGAAAGACTGGGCTGTCTACTCCCCTAGACAGTTACAGTCTCAGAAACCCATAGGGGGTCGCTATCAGTCAGTATTGACTCGATGGCAGTGAGTGTGGTTCTTGGTTAAAAAGGGAAAGGATTTAGAGAGGCAACAAAGAAGTGGGTGAAGATTCAAAACAGTTTGAGAAGACATTTCCTAGGGGCGGGTGGGGTCTGGAGCATACAGACAATGGAAGCCTCACACCAGAACCACCAGTTCATCGAAGAGGTGACATTGGAATGTGTCCATCCGGAGAAGCCTAAGTATCTCTCAACACAAGTATGACACACAAAAACAAGAACGAGAAGATAAGTGTTTCTTTACAAAGAGGAGAAAATGAGGGTATCCTTGAACCAGCAGCAGAGAAACTACGGATAGCTTGAAACAGATCAAAATCTGGGTTTGAAATACGAGAGACTTGGAGTCAGTGACAGAATGTAACAAGCAGGAGAAACTGAAGGATCTAAAGATTTAGTTCAGGCAAACCGTAAACACGGAGTTTTGTGAAGGAAGTCATCTCAAACTAAAAAGAAGAGGGCTTTCAACTCTTGGAAAACAGAACGGAGTAAAACAGTGCAATATTCCAGTGATATTTTAGAGAATTACTCCTAGATGCAACTAAGTCATGCATGCCCATACCAGAGCAATCTGCCGGAAGAAATGATAGTTCAGTACTTGAGTTGGCATCAGTAGTGAACATACTTTTCCTGTGCAAGTTATCGTGTAGATTCCACCGTGAAAGAGAAACGTGGACAGTCCCACACACTGTGCTCTGAGCGCACACTCCATGTCGAATCTAGCCAGTGTCGAGAATCCTTATGAGCTGGAGAGCTCGGGGAAAGAGCTGGACCACGGGGATTCGCAGGCCAAGCCAGTGTGTAACGCAACACGCGTGGGAAAGTGTTTTCAGAAGCCAGCAGCTTGGGAAGGCACAGGAGAATACATCCAGGAGTCCACCCTGATGTCTGCCACTGTGTGGAAAGGCATTTACCCAGTGCCACCAGCTGAAAGCACCTGTAAGAAGGCGTCCAGATGAGAAACCAGACAAAGGTGAACTGTGTGGTGGAGGATTTGCTCAGACATGCCAACTAGTCTTCTGTAATCACATGCATCATGGGGAGTAAAGACCTTATCAATGTGATAGATGCAACTTACAATTGGCAACTTCTAG